TTATACTGACAAAGACTGCTTGCTGTTTCCCCAACAACAAACCCTGGATCACAAGTGAAATAAAAGCAATCCTCAATCAGAAAAAGAAAGCTTTTCGAGACGGCGACAAAGAACGACTCAAATAAGTGCAACAAGAGTTGAAGAGGAGACTGAAGACGGCAAAGCTGGAGTACAAAAAGAAGATATAGAGGAATTTACAACACAGCAACATCCATGAAGTGTGGAGATGAATCAGTACCATCTCTGGACATAGCAATAAAAAGAAAAGACAGCCAGTGGTGGGTGATGTGGAAAAAGCTGACGAATTTAACCTGTTCTTTGACAGATTTGACACTGCTGTCACACCCACTTCCACTGCTACTCCACCTTCCTCTCCACGACAAATTCTTTCCTTCCTCTTCCTCTGCACCGTGCCCTGTCTCATCTGGAGGAACCTGGGGTTTATGTGAGGATCATGTTCTTTGACTTTTCAAGTGCATTCAACACCATCCAAAAATGATCCTTCCTGTGTTTCTTGGATCACAGATTACCTGACAGGAAGGCCACAGTTTGTCAGGCTGGGGAACTGTGTTTCTGGGACATTAATGAGCAGTGCATGGGCTCTACAAGGGACAGTCCTGGCTCCACCCCTGTTCACACTGTATACATCAGACCTCACATATAGCACTGAGCCCTGCCACATCCAGAAATACTCAGATGACACAGCTATCGTGGCATGTATCAGAAATGGACAAGAAGCTGAATACAGAGATCTGATAAGAGCCTTCAGTGACTTCAGTCACAAAAACTGCCTTCTCCTCAACACCTCAAAGACAAAAGAAATGATCATAGTCTTCTGTAGACCCTTTATCTACAGAAAGGGGCAGAGCCGCCTATTTTGCCTAAGAAGACTCAGATCAATAGACATCTGGAGTAAGATGCTGCAGATGGTTTATCAGTCTGTGGTGGCAAGTGTTCTGTTCTGTGTTGCAGTCTGCTGGGTAGGTAGTATCAAACACAAAGATGCAAGACGAACAAACTGGTGAAAAATGCTGGCTCTGTGGTTGGATTCAAGTTGGACTCACTGGAGGATGTGGTGGAGAGATCTACACTGAGGAAGGTGGAGACTATTCTAAAGAACATGGATCACCCACTTCATAATACTTCATGGACCAAAGGGCCAATGGTGGTTGACGGCTCCTCTCTCTTTGTTGCAGAACAGAAAGACTCAGAAGATCTTTTGTACCCACAGCCATCAGACTTTACAACTCTTCTGTAAATAGTAGATGACTTTTTGAGACATAACAAGCGAGACGAAAGACACTTGAATTTCCCTCCGGAGATAGATAAAGTAATTCTTATTCTTAATTGTGATTATAAGAGCCATTGACAATGAAAACAATGTGGGAACATTATCATTCCGTTGCCCTCCTCTACTGTGGGGTGGGAGAACAATATAAAGAAATGGCTTCAAATAGTGTATACTAGCATTTAGCTGGTTTGTATGTGCCATTGCCATAGACGGGGAGGCTGAGGTTTATCAGTTCCTATATAACTGTAAGGTCATTTGCATTTCATTAACAGGGGTTGAACTCAATCTTATAAACTCAAATGCCATTGAAGAGACAAGTCAGAACCTTAATGTCACACTATACTGTGTCAGGGTTTTAGTGTGGACTCTAGATGAAATAGACACACTGTAAACCCGTACAGTTCTACTAACTCAAAAGTATTGTGAAAACAATAAGCAGAATCTGCTATCAATCAGGGTTATTATTGTTAATTAAAACTAATGAAATGACGAAAACTGGAATTGAAAAAACGTTTTTTTTCGTTAACTATAATAAATAAAAATTATATTTAAGAAAAAAAACAATAACTAACTGAAACTGTATTGCTTGTTTACAATACGAACTAAAAAATTATCAAAATAGTATCAAAATTATAGATAAAAATCCATTTGTTTTTGTCAAATTCGGATTGATATGAAATTGTTTTATTTCGCTCAAGCAATTTAACATGAGCTAGCAGCACCGTATTACACCTCTTAGTTTATCACTTGTTGTTTACAGGCAGCGTCTTATCACCATTCCACCTGGCAAAATGGCAAAAAAAAAAAAAAAAAACTTGGGAGAAAGCGACAGAGTCCTTTATAAAATTTCTTTAAATATGACAGCGAGAAAGACAAATGCAAGTACCTTGTAGTGGAAACTAGTGAGAAAATATGTGGAATACTTCTCAGGGGAAAAACTTCACAAATCTGAAAGTCCATTTGAGAAGCTCACACAAGAATGCTAATCGCGAGTACCTTGTGACAAAGTGGCCTCTCTGAGTAGCTCCTCTGAAAAAGAAGCAACATCCCAGCCAGGAGATAGCACCAGGAACCAGGAGACAACTACAATGGACTTTTTTCACTGACGACCAAAGAGCCGCTGGCTAGTAAACGTGCAGGAACACCGCAAGTGGGAAGATGCACTTTTAAATATCATTATTGAGACTTGTATGTCTACAAGAGTGTGTGAGTTCATTGTCTTTGAAAAGTTAAGCTTTTCACTTAAGCCAAAATTCGAATCACCCGGTGCTGCATGAGTGAATGACCTTATTGCCAAGTATGAAAAACTAAAACTAATAAACAATAAACTAAAACCTATTTACAAGAAATAAAAATGAACAAACCCGCTCTAAAAACTAATTAAAATTAACTGAATTAGAGAGAAAAAAAGTCCAAACGAACCACAACTAAACTATAATGAAAAATCCAAAACTATTATAACCTTGCTATCAAGTCAACCCAACTTTTAGTTACCAAGTGTTCCAAACGAGGTATGCAGTTATAATTACGTGCTACTTCAATTGTCTGAGTGATCATCACTATCTTACTCAAAACCTTTGGATGCATGGAGGTGTGCAACCTAATGACGTCAGTGCATCATTACGTTGGTGGGACTGAACGAGACAAAATCAAACCAACATGGCAGTCAGGAAGTGAGGGGAGTGCACCGGTTGCCGAAGTAAAAAAAAACTTGAGTATCAGGGTACAGTCTTCCCATCTGTTATGCCCCAGTCTAGGGGTGCCTAGGGCACAACATGAGAAGGCCTCATCATCCCCAAGTCCCAAGTAGCCACAACAACCGAGATCCAGTTAAAGTTAAAGATAAAGATTTATTTGTATAAATCAGTAAATAACAAAAGATAGACAAAAGAACTAAGGCTGGATAACTAGACTTCAGGGTGGACCAAGGCCAAAACAACAACCAAAAATAATCCTGTCTGAGTAGTAAGTCCTTCCCTAACCAAAACAAAGGAAACAAATGACAAAAGACTTACCTCCCTAACTAAAATACACAGGAGAAAATAATGTTAACAAAACTGGCAGTCCACCCCTACTACTGAAGGAAAACAGAACACAATACACCATAGTCTTTAAGCTGCAAAATAGGGTGGCCGGTTGGGAGAGGAGGAGGATGAGGAACGCCTGGCCTCTGCACATGGTGGCTGCCATCTTGGTTCTCAATATAGCTGGTCTCGGCCAATCACCATACAGGGCGTAGTCCATCCCACCAATGACCGCGTTGCTGTGGCACACACCTATTTGCATACAAGATTGACACAACGAAAACACAGAGCACACACACCCAGCAGACACTCAACCAATTATGACCCCAGTCATAACACATCCCTTTTATTGGATTGTGAAAATATGTCCTTTATTTTGAAAATAAAGCAGTATTCCTGTTCCTTGTTTCTCATGTACCAGTAGCTGTGAGAGGGACCTGGCTGCAGCCAAGATGGCGGACCCAGAAGATGAACTTCCGCAATGCTTCCGCAATTTTGCAGCAGAGAATAACTCCCGGGTCATTCTTGTATTCATTCCGGCGGACGGGCTTTGCGATGCCAGAACAGTAGGTGGCGGTATGCACCTAAACTTTCTCACAGTTTGACTACTCAGTTGTAAGTACTTTTCAACACGCAGTGTCATCCTTAAGGTTGTGTTTTGTATTGTGCACTAAAATGAAATACAAACAACAATTTCAGCATGACATGCCTGTTTTGCGGAGATGGTGGTGCCTGTTGCTCTTGGAAAACAATGCTTTGAACAGGTAGACAGTTTAAGTAAATTAGATGCCCTAATTAACTGGGAGACAATCAATATATTGTACTTAAAGATATATTGTCATTACAGTTATGGGAAAATCTTTGCCCACTGGACGAAGGAATGTCAGGAGCTTATTGCTGGAAAGCATACTCCAGTCTTCAGGCTTAAGAGGAAGGCTGAGCAGCAGGACACAGAGGTTAGGAAATTTCCCTCTAAAAACAGTATTATCTCAGTGGGAGTCCTTCAAAATGCACACAGTTGTATGGATCAACATTGTCTCGATGTATTTGGTAATTGATGTTACTTTTCAAATTGACTTGTCCAGGAAACCATGACACAGACGACATCTGATGTCCAAAGAGTGTGCATGGCAGATTCCATGAAATTCTTTGTCTACCAGACATCCGACACCACAGGAGAAAGGTTTATTGCAGACTCAATTTAATAAATGCAATTATCGGGCCTATTCAGTGATTTTCCATTAAGTGACCACTTTTACATATAGTTTATTTGCACGAATCATACGGGAAAATTATTTATACATTCAAATGTGCTGCAGAAGTATAATCAATTGGATAGCTTGTGTGTTTAATATTAAGTTTGTCTCTCATTTGTTCAGATTGCTTTACCCTGAGGTAAAGTTTGTAAAATGGGTCCAGTGCAAGACATGCAGCGGCTGGCTGCATCAAGATTGTGCCGGAATTGACATGGAGCCCTTTGACTGTGGCTGCGAGGACTTGAGCATCCTCGGTATAACATAATTTATCAAAGAAACATAGTATCAGTCAAAAATACGAGACGCAAAGGATGAAAAAATGAGGGCTTGCTCTTTTTCTTATTTCTCTACAGGATCAAGGATGCTGTTGACAGTGGAGGAATTGGTGCTGTCTTTTCTAAGACACAGATCAAGGTTGCTTTTGAATGCATCAGTTGTTAAAGCCACCGTTTCTTTTACAGATGATTACATTTTTGTCTCTTGCTCTTTGGTTTCAGACATTACACGATGATCTGCTCTCTGGAAACATCCGCTCCAACAGGATGTTTCTTTGGAGGAAACCCGCCACCTCACTCCGGCTCAAGCAGCATCTGAAGATAAGGACGCTATGTAAGAGTGAGCAGTGCGTAAGTAAAAATGCCATCCATCATGAGTATTTTTACTCTCAGAGGTGTTACATTTGAAAGCTGTTTACTTTCTATGTTTTTCTTCAATAGATCTTCGAGCTCCTGCGGTTAATTGAGGAGGCAACGACCATATCTGACAACATCAAGAGAGGCGAGATTCACTTGCTAGATTTTGTCTTTGATGTCATGCTCCCAGAGGTAAGTATCTCAAACTTTATAGCTTGCTTTGAAAATTGATGATGTTGTTAAGAGGTTGTTTTTATTCATTTGGAAAGCTCAAGAACAACAATTAACCCATACTGCATAACTTCAAATGTTCACATTATTTGACTGTTTTTCAGCTTTTGATCAAAGTACTTCAAAAGCATGGCATCACCCGACTCAGGGCGGAGCAGATGATAACCTGTGGCAGTCTATTTTAAGCCCCCCACCACACCGACGGCAACGCTCTCAATTATGGGACGTGGAAGCCTGTATATGTGTATATAATTATATTTTTTACAGTGTGTTTACAAGTTATTGTTTTGAAAATGTTAAAGCAATCTTTGAAGCAGTTATATGACAATTTCCCATTTCTTTACAGTCTGTAATGATATCGCAATTCAAGTGTTTTTTTCTAAATGGCTCTTAGATAGATAGATAGATAGATAGATAGATAGATACATACATACATAGATAGATAGATACATAGATAGATATACTTTATTGATCCCAAAATGGGAAATTCTCTTGTTACAGCAGCAAAAAGAAAATACAAAATAACATTAAATATAAGAAGAAGTAAGTACAATGCAGACTAAAAATACTAGTATATACAATAAATACAGACTAAATATAATGAACATCCTTAGAGATAAAAGTGAGATATGAAGAACGTGGGCTATTGAAATGAGTAATAAATATGAAATGTGAAATATTACAGATGGGGTGATAGATATACAGACAATTTAAGGTGCTCAGTAATGTTATGTGGTAGGAGTTTTAAAAAATGGACTATACAGCAGACAGGTGTGAGTCCCTGTCTGACAGATGAGAGTCTTCTGAACCTTGAACAGATCATGTGTCTTGTGTCTCTACAATTATTGTATATTTGGATTTTCCACAGTCAATCAATCCTGAGGAGGCTCACCAGGAAGCACACCATGTCATATATTATGTTTGCTGTATAATTATCAGGCTATCAGGACATCAGTTTATATATACATATTACTATAAACTTCTTTATTAAATTAAATCAGAACAAATCAGTAGTCATAAATAATACATAAAGGTTTTATTTTGGTTTTTAGCTGAATAATATATTCAATTCAATTCTTACGGAATGAACGGAGCGAAAAAAAAGCTTCCGGCGACTAAATCCGACTACCGGAAGTCCCTTCTAACGAAAAAAATCGATCATTGGAATAACCTTCCCACATGTTGTTTGTTTTTTTAGCTGGACGAATTAATTCCATTAGAAACTTACAGCATGGATGTGACCAAAGAACAAACTTTTGCTGAAAGATTTCGGCGCCGGAAGTCCCCCAACGAGAAATCCCATCCGCCGGAATGAATACAGGGATGACCCCGAAATAATTCTCTGCCGCAAAATTGCGGAAGTATTGCGGAAGTTCATCTTCTGGGTCCGCCATCTTGGCTGCAGCTGGGTACTGTTGGTAGCTGTGGTTGAGAGAAAGAGAGAGAGAGAGAGAGACAGAGACTGACAGAGAGAGAGCGCAAGAGAGCTAACTGGTGACTAATTAATTGTCTTTCCCTGTAGGCCGAAGTCTTTACTTGTAAGATGAAGTTGGTACCCAGCACAAGGCATCCTTGGCAAACAAGGTAATGTTTATGTTAATTTTTAATGTGTGGATGTATCCATTAAATTTTATGTTGATGATAACTGTCTTTGCTTTTAACTGTATTTTTTGGTAAGCCAGGTAATGCAGTTCTCTATGTTTAAAGGGATAAAAGAAATAACTGTGAAGGCAAATGTCATCCTCAGTTTTTAAGAGATTAGATTAACTACAGGCTATATTGCAAAATCTTTTTCATCAGAAAAATAGCTTAGTACACAGCATTTGACAAAGATTCGAAAGGGTCCATAATCTGTGTTTTAAAATGTATAAATGACTTTATTAATTTCTATCTAAAATATTCTAATTAGAAATTTGGACTGCATTGTTTGAGTGATTTCAGAGTACTATTTTATGTCATCTCACAGGATCAAACACCTGAAACCAGTAAGGAGCACTGAGAGCAGTGAATGGCACAAAACCTCTATGGTAAACATTTATCATGAAAGACACTTGTTTGAGTAATGGAGTGGAAGTGCAAAAAGTGTACTGTGTCTGCAGACATTTCATTTTTATTTTTATTTGATTTTAAGATGCCATACTTTTTGATCTTGACCACTGAAGATCCTGGAGCTCTTGTTATTATCTGTAATACACATGTTTGCAAAGATGTTTGCACACACAACCATACAGATGTGTGTATGTGTTGTTTGTGTAGTTACAGTTTTGTTGCTGTGTCCAAAGTGGTTTGGAGAAAAAGACATCTGAATAAAAACATTGAAATATTCTACATTTGTTGTGTAAAGAAGTTTATTTGAGTATTCTGAACTGAAAACAAATGTTTTAAGTAAAATGTAAGTACTCCAAACTTAAATACTCTAACTTTCTCAAAAGCTTTTAGGTAATCGGTTTCCACAAAAGTTTTGAGTATTCTGAACTTATTCGGGTTTACAGTGCTAGCTGCTCATGTACTTCAGGACCAGGGTGACCCTGAATCCATGCAGCTGCAACGCTAAGCGAGGTGTGTTAGTAATTTTGGCAGATTAAAAAAAAAAAATATATATATATATATATATATATAAATGCATTTTTAATCACTTTGACATTTTTTTTTTTATATAACTGCAATTTTCTAGTGTAGGAATATTCCAAATGTTTTTCTTTAATGAACACTTGTGATTGTGTCCCTCATTTTTTTCAGTTCTTTTATTTATTTATTTATTTATAAATTATTATCATTATTGTTATATTTTTTACAACTCTTATAAAGCTATGTGGATTGGAAAGTATGTGTGAAAGGGGGTCCTTAGTATTGTTTCTCCTTTCTTTTTACATGCAGCACATTGCATTGCATTATCATTGAATGAAAAGTGCTTTATGAATTGAGCCTGATTCTAAGCAAAGTCTGTCGGAAGGCAGACAATGGAGATAGTAGCAAAGGTCACAGGAACATTCCCTCTATGTGTTGGGTGCTCCTTAAGCCATAAATCAAACTTTGTATGGTTGTGACTCGGAACTATGGGAGAGGGGTGTGTCGAATACAGCGGGGAGATTGGATGGAGAGGTAGAGCAGGAGATTTACCAATAGAAGCTGTCTGGGACGGATGGCCTTTGACACATGCCATGCCCTAGTTCAATGGCCATTTTCATATTGAACCATAGAGGGAATTGGGGCTGCTGTTCGACATTGATTATGGCCTAAAATTGACTTAGATTGGTTTTATATTCAAGGAAAGTTGCTATTTTAAGATATGAGAAAGTCAAAAATATGAGTATTATTTATGATCTATTAAGTCTTTAATTATGGGAAAAAATGTCAAATTAATTAGGTCAAAGGTTTAAATGTAGATAATAAATTATAACTTTATCTCCTGATTTTGACTTACCATCTCAAAGATTACCCTTTTGACCATAATTTTGACTTATTTTTTGATAATGCTTGCTTGCATGGTGTTTATTTGTTATCATCAATTTTGGTCATATTAAACATGTCTTCAATTTTTAGGATAAGTCGGTGGCAACAAAAGCAGCAGTGGCTCTGGTGGAAGTTGTGAATAAAGAAGCAGCTGAAACCTAAATTACAGGCTCTAAGAAATTAACTTGAGTTGGATGTTTAAGTTTTCCCACTGACAATAACATTGTCAGCTGTTGCGCTTACAACAATCCAGTCTGGAACCACAATGAGACACTGTTGTTCACGAAATGTCCAGCTTTGTGCATGTATGTTTAAAATGGCGATGTTCAGCTTCAAGTGTTTTTAACAATTGATGTCATAGTTTTTACTACACTTCACCTCTGCTTTAATCCTGTTTGGGTTACATTTTTTCATTTTTACCACGGAATGAATAAAGTTTCTTCTCTATTTGAGAGAAACAGTGTGCGGGAGTTCATCTATTTTAAAATGAAATTTTCAGTTGAGTCACATAATGTTTTTGTTGTTTTGCAAAGAGGAAAACATTGTCAGCATTAACATATGAGGTGAGAAACGTGTTTGAGTTTGTTTTATAAAAATATTAGGCTTCAAATGTTTGCATTTGTAATTCTGTGGAGTTAAACTTAATAAATAGTTTGCTTGTTCTGTACTTGTGTCATGTTGAGTTTTTACAGCTTTGTGGGCAGCAGTAGCTCAGGAGGTAGAGCGGTCATCCAATAACTGGAAGGTTGGCGGTTTGATCCCCCCCATCCCGAGTTTGTCTGTTGTGTCCTTGGGCAAGACACTTAACCCATCTTGGTCCCAGTGTGTGTCCTCCACTGGTGTATGATTGTGAGTGATGTGTGTTCAGAGAGGCCATAGGCGCAAACTGGCAGCCACGTTCCCATCAGTCTGCCCCAAGGCAATTGTGACTTCTAAGCTAGTTTACCACCATCAAGGTGTGACTGTGTGAGCAAATGAATGATGTATTCAATGTAAATTGCTTTGTGGATCTCAGATAAAGTGCTATATGAAATCTGATGCATTAATTAATTAAATTGTTTAAGGCAATTGGTTTACTCATTTGAATTGAGTAGCCATGAGTTGTTTTAACTAGAATCTAATAAATTGCTGCATTGGAAGATTGAGTACGTGCAACTCAAAAGTTGCATTTGTATGGACTAGATTAGTTTAAGTTATGAGTAAAGAAAAATGATTAATATGAGTATAGAATAATAAAGGAATAACTCAATATTACCTTAATTGAATTAAAAAGATTAACTAGTTAGCAAGTGACAACAGCTTTAAATATTTAAGTTACTTGAACCTAAATGGAGTGTTTTTTCATACTTAAATAATATGAGTTAACGAATTTAAATAAATGATTCAAGGCAATTGGTTTTTTTTCAAATCATTTCAGTTAAACTTACTCATCAGGTTTTACAGTGTATGATGATTATTACTTCAAGGAAATGATAAAGTAATGATCATAAATGTTCTTCCTTGAGCTG